GAGAAGTATAATAAAAAAAAAAAAAGTAAATCAGTCCACAAAGAGATATATATCGAATTTATAAACAAATAATATAATAATAATTATTATACACATATATTATAATAATAATAATTATTATTATGGATAAAACTGGAAATACACAACCAGGGGCGGTTACCTGGGATAACAGCAAGCATAAAAGGCTGTTTTAGACTGAATTTACCGTTATACCCTTGCACCTATCCCGTGTCGCCTTCGTCACCAGTCACCACCGTTCAGCCCTTTTTCCCTCTTTATATAAATACATGGCACACACCACACACACACACACATTTCAATTTCCAAAGTGAAATTCGATCTGTGCTACGTACCTGTTTTCATAATCATCAAATGTCGAGGAAGGATTGCGAGCTCTGTGGCGGCCCGGCCCGGATGTTCTGCGAGTCCGACGATGCCAGCCTCTGCTGGGACTGCGACGAGAAGGTCCACGCCGCCAATTTCCTGGTAGCCAAGCACTCCCGGACACTTCTCTGCCACGACTGCTACTCCCCGACGCCGTGGAAAGCTGCCGGCCTCAGGCTCGGACAGGCCTTCTCCGTCTGCAGCGGATGCGCCGTCGGCCACGGCGAGAACTGCGGGGTGGAGGAATCTACCATCCGGAGGGGTGATGAGGACGGCGGCGTCGGCGATTCAAGCGGTCCGCCGGGGAGCGAGAGCGAGAGCGACGGGGAGTATTTCAGTGATACCGAGGGTTCTAGTGATGATGAGGATGAGGAGGATGAGGAGGATGGGGAGAATCAAGTCGTTCCGTGGTCTGATTCCGGCTCGATTGCGGCGGCGGCGAGCTATTCCGGCCGTGACGAGGATGCGTCCCGTTCCTCCTCGAAGAGGACGCGTGAAATCGCTTTTGAATCTGAGGTATTTTCTCCCCCAAATTGGAGAGAACCGTAGCCATTGATTTTTTTATTATTATTATTAAATTTCCCTAAATTTTTGTCCCCAAATTTGAATTGGTTTGAATCTGGTGAAGGATGACGATGGGTGCAGCTCGTGGGCGTGCCCTGACGCAAACTCTCAACTCTTCGACGGGAATTCAGGTTCTAATTCATTCAGCTTGTCGAGAATGCCACGGCGGAGCAACGGCGGTGATTTGCTGCAATCGCCGGAATACACGGCTGACGGGGGTCAAAACACGTCATCATCGGGAACAACGGCCATTGTTGAGAAACTTCGCAGGTACAATCAGAAAATTGGGTCAAACGATAGGGAGGATGCTAACTAGGTAGCTTGGCCATTTGCAAACTCACCATAGAGTCATGGTTTANAGTTATATATTATTTGATGGGATATGAATCATTGGGGTTCTAATTTTGAGCTATTCTTTCGAGTAGCAAACATTATGGGTGTATTTGTTTATCAAAAAAGTTAATCTATGCTCAAAATTTAATTCAGTTTTATTTCAATTTTATTTTATTCAATAGTATAATATAATTAAATAATATCAATCAATCATTATTATACATTGCATTTATTTTAATTCAACTATTCATCCAGTCACTCCTCACATCAAATCATCTCTCTTTTACTTAAATATTATTTTAATATAAACTCAAAATCTCGCTTATTACTTATCCTACCATATTTTTCGAAATAGGTGAACTACAAAAATTTATTTTGAGTAAATATATTTGTATCCAACCATGCTCTATGTTTGCATGAAACAATTCCCATGGCTAGGCTTGCCTATACGCAGAGTTCCATTGTAAAACTTCACAGTTCATTGGTAGTTTAAGTTCATATTTGTTCAAAAGTTATGATAGGCGATCGAATTATCCATATTGAGCACTCACGAATACAACTAGATTTTCCAGAAATACTGAGTTTTAGATAGAACTAACGGTTACATTGTTTCACGAAAAATTTGGTGTTAGATTTTAATATCACTCGTTTGGATTGTTGAAACGCTTTCAAAGAAAAAGGAAAAAAGGAGGGAAAAATTAATGGACTATAAGTTATAACAGTCTATTTGCAACGTATCGCCATGATCTACAAGACACTTTGTTTTATGCAACTCGTTTTTACTTCTTCCAAAACACGCTTTTGCTACTTGCATAATAAATTAGTTAGTTCCAATTTGGACCAAAAAAGGAATTAAAATAAAACAAAATAACTGATGGCCACAATTTAACCACCTACTTGATTAACATATTCCTACATACAATGAAAACGTGAACCAAGTAAGGTCCGCCAAGAAAATTCTGAGAATGGAGTGCGGATGGTGACGTTGCCCATAACTCTGTTTTTATTTTTTATTTTTTTCTTTTCCCCACTCACATGAAACATCATTTTCAGGTTTTCACTGCCCAGTAATTGGTGCCACTTGTTTTCTCAAGCTCAATAAATAAATAACATAAATAGAGAAAAAAATGTGAATTTCTTTATTGATATAGTTTAATTATTATTTTTTTTTTTTTTTTCTAGTATTGAATGTAGGAACATTTTATTTTATTTCAAGATTTTTACAAGAGTTGTGAATTCTGATGACAAAAGGTTGAGGTGTGGATAAAGGGGTTGGGACCACTCGATGGCCCAAAGAAAAGCCCACACCATTTTGCAGACTACAAAAACTTGTGGTTCTAATGCTCTGAAGTCAGAACATCGTTCATGCATTTCAAGTTCTGGTCTAAGTTCTTTGAACCCTTCTAAACGTTAATCTACTAGTAGAAGTCTATAGAACTATTAAAATAAACATCACGAATTCTGAATGGTGGTTTGACAGCTGTATTCTTAATAAAAAAATTGCGCTTATTAAATATCATACTATATTTATGCTTTTTTGTAAGTTTAACATTGGAATATAAAAGTATATAATTAATTGAGAAAATATAAATAACCACAAATTTGTAGCTCAAATGTTACCGGTCAAACTTCTATAAAAGTGTTGATTTGATTGATACAAAATTTGATCTTTCTCAAACTTTAAAAATAAAAATAAAAATAAAAATAAATAAAAAAAATAAAAAAATCATTCATTCCCTAACAACAATACTTCTAAACCATCAATATCTACTCCCAACTGTTTGAAAATACTCTCTTTTGCATCACTGGGTGAATAACAAAGTATAACTAAATAGAAGAATATCTATACTGCATAATTTTCCTTATCTCAAATTGTAATTGTATAGTAAAAACTTTTCCGATTACCAATTCCACTTGCAAAAGGCTTT